AAAGTCGATCGAAAAAACAGTAAGTCGAAAATAAAGTAGGTTGAAAATTCAGTAGGTTGAAAATTCAGTAGGTTGAAAATTCAGTAGGTTGAAAATTTAGTAGATTGAAAACGCAGTAGGATTAAAAATTAGTAGTTCATGTTTTAATTAGTAGTATGTTTAAAAAATCAAAAGTTGTAGGTTGAAAATCAAAATTGTCATATTCTATCATTGTAAAAATTTCAAAATTAGGTCCAGTTATAGGCCACTTTATTTTATGACAATACATAACTAAGCTCAATATAATATATTTATCGTTTTTCCAAGCTGCCATAATGTTTGGCAGCTTGGAAAAACGACTAAGATCACAAATTCATTTTTTTAAGTTATTCAATAGACAAACTTTGAAAGTCTAAAAAAAAATAAAAGTTTTTGAAACTACAGAGCAAAATAACTGAGGCAGTTTTTCTATGTATAATCTGTAGTAATAAATACATAACTGTATTGAGCATGGTGTGGATCCACTATATGGGTTTCTGAAAAAAGTGGACTCTGGTCATTTTTCCATACTGCCCTTCATTTGTTTTTCTTATTCTGTTTTATTAATGAGAAGTTTGACAAAAATGATTTGTCTTCTATTACACTTTGAATAGTATATTTCAAAATAATGTAAAATCGGACCTAAATCTGATTTAAAATATTGAACATTAGAGCCGTAGACAAAGTAAACTTTGTAATAATGTTCAATAAATAATGTTCTAATTTTAAATAATGTTCTAATTCTAATCTAAATAATGTTCAATATTTACTTCGTCTACGATCAATCGCGCAAGGACGCCAAAAGTCTGAAGGAACGCCAAAATTGAATATAAGAATAATATTTTTTCTCATTTCAATTTTTTAAAAGCTAAAAAATTTTAAAAAATAGATATTTGAAAAATATTTAATTTTTTAAAAAAAATCACTTTCTCTTGATGTTGATGAGTACGAATTTCTTTTGATGTTAATGTGTAAGAAAGAGCAGCCGTAACGCAGTGGTTGGCGCGCTTGACTCAGAAGTAAGAGATCATTGGTTCAAAACCACCTTTGGGCAAGTTTTATAATATCGGTAAGAAAAGAGTCGTGAACTTCCTTCCAAATGCTCGTCAGCGTCAGCTCGTCAGGAAGTTCACGACTCGTCAGTCGTCGTCAGCGTCTGTGATGAGATCATAAGAACTTGTTGGGGCACCAGAAATAAATAAATAAAATTATTATACTATAACAACACCAAAAAACAATCAACTCAAAAAAATAATAATAATAATAAACTCAAACGCAATGGCGCTTTGGATTAACAAATAAAACTTCTTCAAATTTTTCGAATTTCTCTGTAGAAAAAACTCTGTTCAATTTTTCGTTTGAGACAATTGAAGTAGAGTGCAACAAGTTTAGCTCTCAAGTATGAAAATGGTTAGCAATTGAATTTGTTTGTTAAACGGAGAGTTTAAAATATAAACCTTATTTAATGATGATAAATTTGAAGAAAGTTACATCAATATTTCACAATTTATTAATTAATATTCTTTTATTTCAGTTTATCAGACATAGAAATTGCTGAACAAATTTTTTTCACAACTCCATTTACTGTTACTTCGCGTAAGCAGAGATTTGGTAAACTGAATTTGTCAAAAACTCTTATATAGTCAATGGGACAAGAGCGCTTATCCAACTTGTCAATTTTGTCATCTAAATATGTTCTGGCTAAATGTATTAACTATGATAATATCATTGATGACTTTGTTTCTTTAATTTTTTTTTATTGAATTTATTTATTACAATAATCAATACAACTTCCACATATAAAGTTTAGAATTGATGAAGGGAAACACATTGCTGTGGCCAAAGCACCATCTTAAACGTGTTTTTTAAAAAAGTGCACTTTGGTTGCATCAACTACATCCTGAGCTATTTTGTTCCATCGGTTAGTAACACGGTTTGTAAAGAAGTGCAGAGGTTCTGAATAACTTTTTTTTGTGGTTTTAAACATCGGCTGTTTCTTCACAGATTATATCATGAATTTAATAAGAAAGGCTGTTTTGTGGTATGTAAAATTCAACCTCTTGTAACTGATAAGCGACTTTGTGTAAGGTCACTGCAAATTCTGCGTTCTTTCAGCGTGGTTAGGCTTAGTATTTGTAGTCTTTTTTCGTAAGTAAAATGTTTAATCGACGATATAGTCTTTGTTGCAGGAGAAATTTAAATTTAAAAGCAAGAAAAATTACTTTTGAAAGCAAGAAAAATTCTCTTCAGCTAAACTGTTTAACTAAAAAACGTTAACTAAAAAAACATTAACTAAAAAAATTATCTTTAAAGGATGCATTATGATTATTTGTTAATCTTATAGACTAAAGTAAGTTAGTACTTTTAAAAGATATAATTAATGTAGAGTATTAGTATATAATTTTTTTCGTGTTAATGGGCACCAAGTTTTAACTTTGCACAGGGCGCAAATTTCTGTTACTTAGACTCTGTTGGCCATTAAATATTTTGTAAAAAACAGAAGTGCGTGAAATGGAGACTCATTAATACAAGTTATAAGATTTCATTACAAAAACTTTACATAACAAAACTGTTTTAAAATTTTCTAAATATTTAAAATCTTTCTAAAACAGTTTAAATTTTAAAAAACGTCGGTAATAATGTATAAAATTGGAAGCAACTATAAATTCATATTACTTGTTAATGTTAAAAATTATGTTAAATGTTATGTTAAAAATTATGTTAAATGTTAAATGTTTTGCTTCGTAAAATGCTTAGTGTTAAAATGTTAAGAGTTATTTAATGTTTACTGTTAGGACAAACAAGTTATACAAGCTAAAATACTAACAATTTAAACTACTTAGTTTTAACTAATAAACAAAACAAAAATGTTCTAAATAGTTTTAGAATGTCTACATAATAAAACGTTAATAAAATTTTAAAAATTTTGTTGTCTGGAAAAAACGTGGTTTTTTTCAGGCTAATCAAACTCTCATTTGCTGTTGCAATTTACAGATATAAATCATTTTTTATTACTCATGAATAAAAAATTTTGAACAATAAAAATTAATTCTCTTTTGTTTAATAAGCTAGTAACTAACGTAGGAAAACAACTTTATTTAGTTTAGTTGATTAAACGATAGTAAGATAAGCAGGGCCGGCGCGAGTTGGTGCCACGTGGGGGACGATTACAATTTTTGTTGACGAAAAAAAAAAAAATCCTCGCTCTTTAAAATTTGCCGTCTAACTGGTCTACATTTGACAACTGACTTGTCTAAAAGAGTCGACTTTGCTGACTAAATAAACGCTAAGTTCATTGATGGGAAAAGGGGAGATTTCAGACCCCACACCCCCTTCGTGCTGGACTTGAAGATAAGTAAGTAAGAGTTGTCCAAACGCTCAATTTACCAACAAATGTTTTTTTTTTTATTTAGAAATGTTTATTTAATATTATTATCTTTATTAGTAATAAAGATAAACATTAGTTTCTAAACTAAAAAATGCACAAAGCTTCAAAATAATTAATATGTGTATAAGTTCGTCCATAGCCGTAAATTTAAAAGCAGAAACAATTACTTCTGAAATCTAAAAGTTTAAATACAAATTGGTTTTTTGTGTTTGTTACGTATTTTCAGAAAATTTTATCATAAATAAATAACAAAATATTTTTTTAACCAAGAAAAAGCAAATTATAATTTTATAAAAGTAATAAATTATTTCAAATAACTATTTAAGTTTGTTTTTTTTGTTCTTTTGCAAATATGCTGATTCAAATTAATTACAGGATTTGATTATGAAAATAATGTAGGGTAAAGTAGCCTATTATGGGGATGCTTTTGTAAAATAGGTAAAAAATGAAGACATATTACATATTATGAAGAAAATATAGTATAGAGCTATATACTTTAGCTTTTAAATAAATTGCAAAATATTTATTTATAGTAATGAACTTAAGTGTAAACAAATATAATGTAAAATTATGCAAAATATTATACTACAAAAAAGAATGCCTTATATGAAGAAGTCATAAAAACACATAAATAATAACAAAAATAGTTAAAAATAATCAAATGAAACAAACAAAAGAGTATAATTTGTGTTCTTTAAGACAATTATTTGTAGCAGAATTCACATAAAAAACTGTTATCAATATCAGAACACATAGAATGAGCTCATTTTTGATAAATTATACACATTAGCCATGACTCACCATTTTGATAATCTAAAAATATTTTTTGACAATACAAACATTCAACTGATTCTTCGGAAAAAAAGTTCTATATAATTTGATAAACTGAAGTATTTTTTTTCTACTAAAAGACAGTGTTCTGCTAAATCTTGTTCTATGTTTGGTGTTAGTTCTGATTTCTTCCCCAATCGTGTACTTACAGCTTCTTCCTCGCTCTTGTCAGATTTAGCATAGTGTTTTAACTCAGCAAACATTCTATAGCGGAATTTTAATGGACCTACATAAGCATTTTGAGCAAACTGCTGTAGTTTTGCTCATAGGTTACTAATAATGGCCCATTAAGTAACCGATGAGCAAAATTCCAATGAACCACTAAAAAAATGCCTAAATAGGTCCACTGTAAATCCACTAAAAAAATGTTTACTGTGATTATTCGTTAAACGAATAGTAAAATTTGGTAAACGAATTGTTTTATTTGTTTAATGAATATTACTACTCGTAAAACGAAGTTTAGTAATTAAAATAACAATTAAAATTTAAGTAATAACCCAATAAGCGACGTTAGTAAAGAAGGAGGCGTGAACTTCTTACTCAAATGCTCTGCCGCGGTCGAACAAATAGTAAATACTATATTTATTGACCGAAGTTTTATGAGGACCTAATACTATTCGTTAAACAAATATTACTATTTCTTTAAGCGAGTACTACAATTTGTTAAACAAGTATTTGTTAACTTTGCAACCAAAGTTAAACGGTTTGATTGCCGAAGTTAAACGTGCTGTATACTTAAAAAGTAAACTTAAAAAGTCCAAACTACGTAAAGTTTGTAACTTTAACAGCTGTAACACACTAACATACAAACATAATAAAAGTTAGTATTTAAAATATTCATCCAATTTGTTTTTGATACTGACTGCGTTTCTTATTTAAGATTTTTCCAATCGTTTACTACTCTATTTGTGAAAAAATTATATCGTATATTTTTTATTTCCTGTATATTTCCTCATCTTCTCAGTTTACTATTGTGATCTCTAGTTTTATATCCGTTATCTAGCATTTCAGGTTTTAAGTAAAAATTTATAATATTGTACCCTTTCAAATATTTTAACATTTGTATCAAATCACCCCTTCTTCTTCTGTTCTCCAACAATAGTAAATCCAACTTTTTTAACCTCTCTTCATAACTGTATCTTTTCAAAATTTTAATTCTAGAAGCTCTTTGTTGGACACACTTTAGCTTATCTTTATCAAACTGACGATAAGGATTCCAGATTGGAGCTGCATATTCTAAATGTGGACGTACTAAGGCTATAAACAAGAGTTTCATCGTTTTTTCATCTAAATATTTAAAAGTGTGTTTGATCTTACCTAGCTATTTACTGCTTTATTTGCATGGTGTTTCCATTCCAAATTGTCTGAAATGTACACTCTTAAATCTTTTTCCATGCTTGTGTAGGCTAAAGCTGTAATATTCATTAAAACTTTGTGCTGTCTATTTTCTATTACCATAACCTTACATTTTTGCTGGTTGAATTTCACCAACCATTCCATTAATAAGTCTATATCTTGTTGAAGTTCAATAATATCATTGCTCTAAGGACTTTCATGTGGTTAGAAAATAGTTTACAGCTTTATTTTATTTTGTTGGAAATACGATTAATATAAACTACAAATAATAGTGGTCCTAGAACTGATCTTTGTGGTACTCCGCTCACAACCTCTTCCCATTCTGATTTATTATTTCCTATGACCACTTTTTAAAGTCTGTTCTTTAAAAATCCCTGGTACCAGTCGAATAGTTTTGATATAAAACCAAGAGCATTCAATTTAACAATAATCTTTCGTGATCAACTGAATCAAACGCTTTGGCTAATTCCAGAAACAAAACTATTACATCTAAACCATTATCAATTTAACTTGTGATAAAAGCTAGAGATTCCAATAAGTTCGTCACACAACTTTTATTATTAACAAATCCATGTTGGTTTTTATTGATTAACTTATTTTCAACTAAACATTTCATCATTTTATCTTTAATTATTTTTTCCATGGCTTTACAAACTACAGATGTTAAAGATACAGGTCTATAGTTGCATGGGTTCAACTTGTTACCATTTTTAAACAGTGGGACGATTTTTGCACACAACCATAATTTCGGAAATTTACCCGTTTCAAATGATTTATTAAACAATAACGATAGTGGATTAGCTAAAGTAGATTTGCAGTCTTTTAGAACTTTTGGATGAAAACGGTCCACTCCAGTTGCTTTATTAGTGTCCAGTTTGTTTGAGTATTCTTCAACAACAGAGGCATTAAAATCTGGGTTTTAACAGATTTTTTGTGTTTCTTTATCTATTATTGAAGCAGATAAAGTTTGTGGTTTATTGAATACAGATACAAAATACCCATTCGATGTATTTGCAATTACTTTTAAATCAGTTTCGATGCTACCATTTTTTAGTTGGATTGCTCTTATATTGTCTTTGACTTTACTTTTATTGTTAATATATGAATAAACTTTCTTGGGGTTAAACATTGAATTTAAAGCAAGATCATATTCAAAATCTTTAATTCTTTAATTCACTTTTTTTTTTAAACCTCGTTTAACTCTTTGTATTTTGCAAGTAAACGATTATCTCTGAATTTCTGCCTTCGACATTCGAACTAAACCTTTCTTTTTTCTTTTGACAGCGCTTTCAATTCTTTATTAATCCAGAGAGGTTTTGTGTTGGTTTGAATGCTTCCCGGTTTTATGATTGGCATAAAGAGTTCTTCATAAAAGCTTAACCATTTTTCGTAACATTTGTTTATTTCTAAACCTTTGAATTCATTGTCCCAGTTTAAGATTTTAAAATAATTATTTATTTCCCTTGATTAAAACTAAATTTTTCTTTCACAAGTACAATGTTGTCAATACACTCTTCGTGACTGTAGTTAAATTTAATAATGTGATTACCGTGGTTAATACTTCCCAGTGGTGGAAGATGTACCAGTTTATAAACTCTATTTTTATTCTCAGCTATAATCAAATCCAGTACATTCGTTTCATTCCCAATTTTATTTTGAAGCGTTGGCTTAATCACATTCTGATGCATAAAGCAACTGTCTAAACATTCTAAGAAAATTTTGGCTGATGTATCAGTCTTACTAGTTAGTGTGCCATAGTAACCTTCTGTCCACTTGATTGCGTTGAAATTAAAATCCCTACAAATGTTATACATTTTTAAAAAATAATATATTTACATGTTTCCAGTTTACACACAAAAAAAGTTATTACATCACACATTTTTACAATACTTAAAAAAAGTTATAAATCCTATTAACAGGATTTATAACTTTCTTTAGTTTTATGTTATGCATATGTGCATAACATAAAATTAAAAAAAGTTATAAACCCTGTTAACAGGATTTATAACTTAATTAGACATACATTTCAGGTCACCATGGATCAACTTGTAACTGAGATTGAAAGGTGAAGACTTATGCTTCTCTTGATTTGGATTCTTTGTCTGTCTTTAAGATATAGATTCTGTTGTGATCTCAGCGTGCACTAAATAACTTTTTTAAATTTACCTAAATGATGCGGACATTTATATTCTGAATAAAAAACTACATTACAAGAACTTTGTTACTAATTCAGTTAAAACTAATATTAGTGAATACCAGAAAAAAAATCATCTCAATTTACTTCTGGTTATTTAATCGAATAATTTTGAATCTCAAACGCTAATGATGTTCTAAGGATGTTTTTCTCTTTCTCTGCTGCTGTTACAAATTGTAACGGAGAAAAATCTTTTTTAAACTTCAAAAAGGGTACTGAAAAAAAGGAAATTGTCACAATTCTAATAGTAGACAAAAAAAAGCCTTTCAGTGCTAGCATTTAATTGTTCGTTTTTGGACAATGCAAGAATTATTATTAGCAATATATTAGCATATAAAAAAATTGAATTGAAAAACGGATATTATTTTTTTCGGAGAGGGATGGGATGTCTGGAGTGGCCACAACCGTTATTTCGCTGGGGGGCCAGGATGAACTATATATATATATATATATATATATATATATATATATATATATATATATATATATATATATATATATATATATATATATATATATATATATATATATATATATATATATATATATATATATATATATATATATATATATATATATATATATATATATATATATATATATATACTTTTTTATATTTTTTATTTTGTATAGATATATATTTTTTATAATTTAATAATATATAAAAAACATATATTTTTACTTTTAATGTTTATAATTATTTATTTATTTTTAATATACAAACTTTGAGCGAAACTTCGTAATATTTTACTTAAAAAAGTACTATTACCTCAATAAAAATTACTATACAGACAAAATAAACACAAAATTTTATAAATAAGTAAATCACTTCACCCTAATAATCTAAGTATCTTTTATAATTATCTTTTACATTACATTTTTGTAGTTATTGTCTAAACACAAAGCGTCTGCTTCAGTATTTATTAATTAGATTACTATGACAACCATTACGCTATTATTGTTTACTAGTAGTAATTGTTAACGTATTTGTAATTAATGTTAAAAAAGTGAAAATACATTTAAAATACTTTTTACATAAAAATGTTAAGTATGTAAAAACTTCGAAACAATTTTTATTACAAAAGCAGCACAAAAGAGAAATGCAAAACTAATTGGTTTGATGAAAAGTTTTTTATTATTGTGTGTTACTTATAATTCAGGAAAAAACAAGGTTAACAGGTAGGCATTTTTTTAAAGTATTTAAAGACTAGGAAAAAGTATTTTGGTTAAAAAACCTATAGATTAAATTATTACAAAATTATTTTCTTACCAAACATGTGTTTTGCATCCGCTTTGATAAGATTAGTTCATAACAGCAATTCTCAATAGTGATCTTTTTTTTATCGATGGTGGTCTTGAGACTTCTATTGATAAAAAAAATTACTTAAAACAAAAGAATATTAAAAATGGTAATTTAATAATATATTAATAAGTTTGCCATAAAAAAGTACCGCCGCGAAAAAAGAGGTTAAGTTTAACAATGTTATAGTATAGAAACCTTTTCTGAATATTAATTTCTTCCAAATAATATAAAGAGAACATCTTTATTGTTTATATGTTAATTTTTTGGCGCTTGTTAAACTTACCAAGTGGGCGTAATTATAAATCCAAGCTTTTGACTAGACTTCAGATGAACCACCAACAGTAAACTCTGTCACGGAAAATCTGCATATATCTGCATCTAATAAAATTAATTCATTTTTTCTGAAAGTAACAAATAACATTTAAAACAAAGGAATGATGAATTTTAATTGTCAACATAGATTTGCAACATGCTTTACTTAGCATGATAAATTGATGCCCAAATTACACAGAAGTTATCTGAGTCAAAAGGAAGCAGAAATTTGGCCATAATTATTAAACCAAACATATGGGCAGTTTTAGCGCCATGAAAGTAAAAGAAGCATTAAAAATTTTTAGGCGTTTAATAAATGATTAAAAACCACAGTGCACTAACTTTTGGCAATGATGATACTAAGTTATACCAAAGTGATTCTGCATTAGATTTTTATCTATGATTTCAGTTCACAAAATGAAGTAATACTATAAAAACAACTATTGAGAATACTACAAGAACATTATTTAAGTAAATCCAGATAAAGATTACACTTTCTGTGAATGAACGTAAAGAGGTTGAATGATTCTTGCTTAACCATAAAGTATTAAAAAAGATAATAAAGTTAAATTAAGTATAAATGTTATGTCTTTTTTGTCTAACGTCAAACATATTTTGTTGCGCCGTGTAACTGCTACCATTTTAAATATAACTTTAGACTTTATCATAATAATATATGCTTCAACTGCTTTTCTTTTAAAGTTTTAAAGACAAGTTTGTTTGTTTAACTATTTAATCACAAATATCATCGGTAACACAGAGTTCAAATAGTTGATGTGTTTCAAAGGACGTTTTGTCATGATGTATCTCATACCTATTACAGCAACCTAAAATTCATGCCTCGCTAAATAAAATTATTTTAAAACAAAAATTTACTAATACAAACGTGGTCTAATTTTAGTATTTTTAAACCGTATTAATGGGTTTTATACACGTCTTGTGCCGATTGGGTTAACTCAGGAATAATAATGTATATACTAACTTGTTAAAGCTCAACTGCCCATGTCACTTATCTGGCCAGAGCAGGCTTTGCACCTCAGCTCTCTTGGTTCCGTTGCTTTTTTGAATTTTTTTAAACATTTTCCGATTTTCAATAATAAGAATATACGTTGCTATTCTATGACAGTCTGGTACACTTTTGTATAGGTAGTGTAACGGGAAGTTAGGAAAGCCGTCATAAAAATCAAAAATCCTTATCATTTTTATGTTTATCAATTTATTTTCTATTTCAAATTATATTTGTTAAAATTATACTTTTATTATTTTGATATTTCAATAAGTATAAGAAAAGCTTAGTGCAATATAAAATTTAATTTAAAACGACAATTAAACTAAAGTTGCTTGTACCAGGTCCCAGTTTTTTTTTCCATCCAGGTCCGTGTTATTGTTTAGAATTGTTTCATTTGGTGTTAGTTATGAGTTATGAGTTCAACTCATATGTTTTTTAAATTATATTAAACTCATTTCAGTTGACTGTAGTAAATAAATTAAAAATATAGCCCTATTAAATAAACCAATCTTTAAAAGGAGTAAACCATATATTGACAACAATTTTTATATATATTTAGCATATTTTACATTAGTCGCCACGTTAGAATTATTTCATTTTTGCTCGACTTTTTTGCTTTTTTAAAAAAATTTAGTTGTTACTCTTCCCCTTCGATTACACACAACTTCGATTACACACAACTTCGATTACATACAACTTCGATTACACACAACTTCGATTACACACAACTTCGATTACACACAACTTCGATTACACACAACTTCGATTACACACAACTTCGATTACACACAACTTCGATTACACACAACTTCGATTACACACAACTTCGATTACACACAACTTCGATTACACACAACTTCGATTACACACAACTTCGATTACACACAACTTCGATTACACACAACTTCGATTACACACAACTTCGATTACACACAACTTCGATTACACACAACTTCGATTACACACAACTTCGATTACACACAACTTCGATTACACACAACTTCGATTACACACAACGCATGTTGTAAATTTGAAATGAATCATCTAAAAATGCTTGAAAAAAACGATGTCTAAATTTAGCATCATCGATTTAGGCCTTAATCTGAACTTTTTAACTTTCTAAAACTGTTCATTGAAGATTTTAATTTTCAACAAATAACTTTTGCATTTTCATATTTAGATTGAGTATAACACTGACCACTCATTTTTTAACATTCTAAAATTTTCAACCAACTATACTTTTGATCAATTGATTATTTTTTATTAATTTAAAAACTGAGTTTGTTACGGCTATATAATGCATAGTTTTTGGCAATTTAATTTTTTTAATACTGAAAAAAAAAAAATTAACTAAAAGAGCGCTTTTCCATTCCAAAACCCTCAGTTGATGTATGCTCACTCCGCTGTGCCAATCGTTATATCATTCAATGTATGTATACTTTGCTCTGCGTTTATGGAGCAAAATATTAAAAAAAAAAACGTCTAAAGTAATGACTAGTTGGTCGAAATGAAACTTTCCTAATATCAAAAAAAAATTACTATACACGGTTAGCACGGATCCTTATAATGCCTACCTAGCTGTCCCAAGAATGCCACTTATACGGAAAGTTAGCGCACACATCAAGGTACCCTGTGATGCAAATTTTGAAATCATATAATTTAGTTTGAATGTTTAAATTAAGTCAAATTTTGACTTCATAGTGCGCCAGTAAAAACACTTATAGAATTTGAACCACTCAATATAATTTGATAAATATTGGTGCAAATGTAACCATAGTCACACCAAACTCTGGACAATATGTTAGCCTGATTGGACGCAGGGTTGCCAACTGGTGTTTTTTAAAGCCAGATTTTTCAAATCTGGTTTGTTTTTTTATCGCTTGGCTTGGAACTTTTGTTTTGGTTTATTTTAAAAAATCTGGCTTAAATCTGGTTTATTTTAAAGTCTTTTTTTGTTTTTTCTGGTATGTTTTTTAAAGTTTTTATTTCATGAAAAAAGTTAATTTGAGGGAAAGAAAGATTTCCATTTTTTTATTTTATAGAAGAACAATCAAGTTTAAAATAAATGAAAGAAATGCTTACATTAAAATGTTGTAATGTCAATAATAGAAAATTCTTACATTCAAAATGACATTTATTAAGAAAAATCTGCCTGTATTGAATGAGCGAGTCTAAAAACTTTTAAGAAAAATAAGTTTTTAAAAACACTGCTGAATTTTAAACTGCTTCGTGAGACCATTTAGAAGTTTTCGGAGACCTAGACCTCTGCAACATAGATGCCTACTGCCTTGGCTGTCAATGTGTTCCGTTCTAAATATTTTGTTGAGTCTTCTCACAGGTCATCTGCATAAAAATAAGACTAAGAAAATATGAAACCAGGTCTTGCATGTAGTCATTTGGACTAAATCATATTTAATAAGGCGAAAGATTTTTTACCACAACTTTAAAATAATTAAGTCAATCGCAAAGGTTGGAAAAAAAAATCTATATCCATATACAAGCGAAAAAATATATATATATATATATTTTAGAGGTTGATAGTGTCGGATTTAGTATAGGTGTTTGGGAGTGAACTACTTTCCCCACGCCGCTTTGAAGGCTGGACTAGCACCCCATTAAACATTCACTAACTCGTTCTTCTTCTTATCCCTCACTCTCTTACAAATCAAATTTTAATATTCAAGGATGAATTTTTGGATTAAAAAGCATTTTTTTCAAAATATAAATTATAAACAAGGCTTT